ACACACACACACACACACACACACACACACACACACACACAACAATTCCTCCTCTCATTCAGTAAAGAAGGAAGACAGACAGCCTGTGCCGCTTCACAAGAAAATAAATAAATAAAATAAAAAAGGTCCGTCCGTCACCTGTAGCTTAACCAGGGTCCAGGGAGGACCGTCTCCATCATTAAAMSCTGTCGCAGGTCCGTTCAGGGCTCAGCTGTTTGTTTACGTTCATGATGAAAGTAAAACTCTTCTCTGTGGTTTATTTTTTTGTTGTTTTTGTTTTTGTTTTTTGGCGAGGGGCGTTAGCAACTGTGCATGTCAGTGCTTCTTTTCAGAATAAAAGCCTGGTGCATGTAAACACTTGTTTGCACAAGTTTAATAGTCTACTAAGTTTAGGACTGCATGATGTCTGTTTTTATAAATAAGATGCATCTTCATGGTCCTGGCTGACAAGTTGGAGTTGAACATGTGTGTTCCTCTTTATTGCTGTATGTTCATTGAACTTTAGCAAATTCTGAGAAATAAAGCCACAAAGTGAGAATGTTTTTGTTTTGGGCATTTTAAGAGTAACACAGATTACACAAATTCACAAACGTTAACACAAATTACTCAAATTAATTTGTAAAAACTAATGTGTTGTTTTTTAAGACTAAAACTAAACAATTTTTTAAAGTTTTCGTCGACTAAACTGGAATAAAACTATTAAAAATATAAATGACTAAAACTGACAAAAACTAAGAAGTATTTTTGTTCGAAGGACTAAGACTAAAATTAAAATGGCTGCCAAAAACAACACTGCGTGACTCCTGTGATGAGAAAAAAGTGTTTCCATTGCAGTTTTGTGAAAAACATTTGGATACGGCTGAAAACCCACCTCATCCTAGTGCAAAAACATTTTGTTGAARAAATGTAAGTTGTTTTCTTAAAAGGACGTGTTTCCTTTGAGCAAATTTATGTTTTAAATTCTAATTTTCATATGTTCCTGGTGAAAGGAAACACATGTAGTGATTTGTGTAAGTCTCCCTGAGTCCCTGCAGTGATGTGAACAGAACCAGAGCAGTTTTTAATGCAGCGCTGCCTCTGGGCCTGAACATCACAGCTTAATATTAACTTCCAGTCTTGTCCTGTGAGTGCAGACATTTCTCCAAATGCTTCATTTGTTATGATATTCTAACCCAGTGTTTCCCAAAGTTGGGGTCGGGACCCAAAGTGGGGTCCCGAAACATCAAGGTGGGGTCCTGAAAAGATTTTCTAAATTAATGACATTTTTGTCTTAGTTGTTACAAAGGAGTGAGTTTGGTGTATTTAAAATGGATAAATGTAGTATAAAAATATTGTTACTATGCCCATGTTTAGTTGACCTGATACAAATGTTTATCATACAAAAACAGTTGGGGGCACAGGTCTCTGCTGTTATTTTGTGGGTCAAAAGCTGAAAAGTTTGGGAACCACTGGTCTAACCTGTAGATGCTGTGGTTTTTACAGCCTTCCCAGTGTTATTTTAGGATTGTCCCACTGTTTTTAGACAGGTTTTTGGGCACTGATGAACCTCTGCCCATCTTTACTTCTCTAATAAAAGCCCTGTTTATACCCAGTCCTCTGACTGACCTGTTACCAAATAAACAAGTTAAATTAGTTGCCAAATATTCATCTTTTACAGCCTTTATTGTCCTGTTGTAATCTTTTTAAGACCTGCTGCTGTCATAAAATATAAATTACTGATTATTTACAACAATTTCTGAGACATTTTACATGTTCACAGTGTTCCATTGTTAATGGAAATTAATTAAATGAAATTAGCAAATCATTGCTTTCTGTTTTTAATCTTAATTTACACAATGTCTCAACTTTTTCTGAGTGTTATGGTTTTTTCTTGTCCAGGGTCTTTGTTTTTTTATGGGTGTGCTTCAGTTTTGTTTCTTCTCTCATCCTGACATCCTGATAAGTGGAAGAGCCTCTACCATGTGTCTCTGCTGGTGTTCAGTGCTGCACTCATGACGTCTCCGCTCTGTCTGTCGTCAGCAGACGCTCAGAAGAGGAAAAGCAAGTGGGACTCAGCGATCCCTGTGACTCTGGCCCAGCCCACCCTCATCACCACCTCAGCAACACTTCCAGCTGTCGTCTCTGTCACAACAACAGCCAGCGGGACCAAGACCACCGTCATCTCTGCAGTGGGCACCATCCTGAAGAAAGCCAAGCAGTGAAGTGTGATGAAGACCTGCAGAGGACAAACTGTTGGACCCTCCATGTTCACTCTGTGAGCCTCCACACAAACTGGATCTGCTACACATGGACACATCACAACACTCACTTCTGTCTCTGTTTGGATCTGGACTGTGGCTTTAAAAAGCCTAAAGGATATTTTGTTAAAAATCTTAATTTCATAGGAAAAAAAATAGTATAGGTCCTCTGGACGGGTTCTTCTTTAATGAAACGTTTCGTCTCTCCTCCAAGAGACTTCTTCAGTCTGAGAGTTTCAGGCTAAATTCAGGCTTTTAAGCCCTAAAAGCCTGAATTTAGCCTGAAACTCTCAGACTGAAGAAGTCTCTTGGADGAGAGACGAAACGTTTCATTAAAGAAGAACCCGTCCAGAGGACCTATACTATTTTTTTTTCCTTTGATTTTTTACCTGGATTACTGAGATGCATCAGGACATCTTAATTTCATCACTTTTTTGTTTTGTTATTGTGTTTTTACAACAAATACAGATGTACAAAAATTATTCACTCGTTTTCTTCCATTTCTGCTTTTTTGTCACATTTAAATGTTTCACATCCTTAAACAAATTGTACAATACAATAATACAACTTTATTTGTAAAGAGCTTTAAAACAACCCCGTTGGCCAAAGTGCTGTACATGATTAAAAACACATAAAACAATAAACTAAGTAAAATGAGCCAGTATCTAAAAACAAAAACATTAAAACCAACATCTCAAACTGAGTTAAAAGCCAAGAAGTAAAAATGTGTTAAGAGCAGATTTAAAAACAGGAAGTGAGTCGGCCTGTCTGTAAGGCAGCTCATATCACAGTTCAGGTGCAGCGACTGAAAATGCTCGATCACCTCTCAGCCTCCTCTTACATTTGGATGACCAACAGGAAGTGATGTGCTGACCTGAGGGCACGAGAGGCAGTGTCAGGTTGGAGCAGGGCACATAGAAACATTGGGGCAAGACCATGAAGACATTTAAAAGCAAACAGTAAAACTTTAAAAGTAATCTGGAAGTGAACTGGGAGCCACTGTAGTGATTGTAAAACAGGAGTGATGTGGTCTTGTGTTCTGGTACCAGTTAAAAGGTGAGCGGCAGCGTTCTGAACCAGCTGAAGTCCAGTCAGTAACGACTGGCTCAGCCCGACATAAAGTGCAGAAGTCTAAGCGAGTTGTGATAAAAGCATGGATCAAGATCTGAAAATGATGAKGWGAAAGAAATGGCTTGACCTCGGCCAGTTGTCTCAGGTGATAAAAGCTGGACTTGATCACAGATTTAATCTGAACATCTAGTTTAAAATCAGTGTCCAGTTTAACACCCAGSTTAGTTCCTGTCTGGGTCAGATGTTGTGCTAAAGGACCAAGATCAAGTTGGACTTTAGAGCTGTCACTGGACTGAAACAACACAACGTCTGTCTTTTGTTCATTAAAATATAAGAAATCAGTGACATCCATGCTCTGACTTCTGCCAGACGTTCCAGGAGTTGGTTCACAGAATATTGATTTTCCTGTTTCACTGGAAAATAAATTTGGGTATCATCAGCATAAAAATGGAATGGGACACCGTTTCCAGAGAATAGATCCTAGTGGGAGTAAATAAATGGAAAAAAGAAGAGGGCCAAGTATAGAGCCCTGAGGTACTCCACATGTGAGAGGCGCTACAGAGGACTGAACTGCACCGACACRCTCACAAAAGCTCCTCTCTGATAKATAGGATCCAAACCACTGTAGAGCAGAACCCTTAAAGCCCACCCAGTTCTGTAGGTGAGACAGAGGTATCTGATGGTCCACTGTGTCGAAGGCAGCTGTCAGAAACCACAAATTATATTATCAGACAACGATAAAAACAACAAAACTCAGTTTTTAATTACTTCATTTTATTAAGAAAAAAAAGCCAGTCATACCTACAGTATGTGGCCCTATATAAAAAAGTAATTAGCCCTAAACCTACCGGTTGTGCCACATGTGGCAGGAACAGCTGCAGTCAGGTGTGTGATTACAGGCAGTCAGCTGCTGCTGCTGCAGAACCCTGTGAGTAAGGTCACACATTGATGGTCACACACTGATGGTCACACACTGATGGTCACACACTGATGGTCACACACTGATGGTCA